CTTTTATATTCAATTTATTATTTGCATTTGATTTTTTTATCTATTTAGTTTGTTGTGATTCAGTAAAAAGTTAGATAATAAACTTAATGTTAACCAGAAGTTCAACTTAGTTTTTAATAAAGTATTGAGAATGTAATAAATTTAAGATAAACTGAAAATGATGTAAAAGAGTTTATAAAAGATTATGATGATAGATTTAAATAAAAAAAGACAATTGTATATATAACTGGAAGTATTTTAGATTCATCTTATTTTGAAAAGTTTTTAGAAAATAGTATAGATGTGTTTTTAGCCATTTACAAAATAAAGTTAAGTTTCTTCAATTATTGGACCTTGGATAACTACTGTTGGGCCCTAGCCCAGCCCATATTAAACTAACGGCCTGTTGAAAATATTATAAAGCAAGCAATATATACTCTCATTTTCCTAAATCGCGCCAGTTGCTAATTTTTAATTTCATTTCAATCTATTTTCTGTTTATAATTTTAGGTTTGGAAAATGAATTTGGGTCATTATGTGAGTTCCATCTCCCAATCGTGCTGGCCGGACCGGAGATCTGCATCAATATCCCGTCGCCGGAGATTTGCCGGCGTGATTGACAGTTTACCTGGCGCCGGCTATGTTCCGATCCCCAAATTGCTCCCGATGGACGCTCTCAAATGTCAAACCGGAAAACAGCCGGCGTTTCTGATCGCCGTCCGCCGTAAGTGAGTCGGGTGCTCCAAGGCCGCCTGAAAATTGTCCTGTATTAACAGTTACCACCAAAATTTGAGGATTTACTTCATACTTGATTGGGAGGATTTGGTAAATTATATCAATATTTTGTAGTTCACTGTGGAATTATGAGACATAAATTTTGTTAGGATCATGGGTACACATGTAGTGATTGAAAATGATTTGAATCCTGTTCATGATTTCTTTTCTATTTTTGTCTCCTAATTTTCAGGAAAGAGTTTGGGTTGGTTGATGAGATTCTGGGGATACTTAAAAATGCTAATAGACATTTGGTGGACAAAATTGGTAACTTGGTATTGGTAAGTAAGCTTGGATACCTTGCTAATTGATATAATGTACCCGCTTCTAGTTGTTGCCAAGTTTGATATATTGCTCGTAAGACTTAGGATAAACGATTAATTCTTGTTTGCCGTATTATCTGCTTGCTGTTTGTGGATGTGCTTCCTTCTTTAACTTGAATAGCAACATTCAGAATCCTATCATTAAATTCAATAGTACATTTAATTTCAATGTTACAGATTGTACGATTTTATTAAATATAGGCAATGTGGATGGTTTGACCAACTTTTCTCCTAATAATGGACTTAACTATTCTTAGCTGTATTGCTGATTCGTAAGAAAATTCTGCGTTCAGTGATGTGATTTTAGGGTCACTAAATGTATTTCAGATGAATCCGATTACTGAAGCCCTTCTTGATCAGCACCTCAAGGTTCTGATTAGTGAAATGGACTATCCATGCATTATGGAAATGTGCATCTTACTATCTGGAATATGATATCCTCGAAGCATTGAGAAAATTGGGGTACTGTAGCCAGGTGAATATTTTTCTTCAGGTATCTTTCATTGCCCTACGTGGTCTCTCGCCATTATTTCATTTGGAAATGCTTAGACACTGAATTCTGAGAATGAGACGTATTTTTCTTTTAACTCACTTTTATGCTGTGTGAATATCTTAACTTGTATGATCCTGGAGAAATTATTGTAGTATGAACAGTGATAATAGGATATTGCATAGCGATATTTTGAGCTGTCACTTGCATGAAACTCATTGTTTGGTTGCCACACACACACACACACACACACATATATATATATAAATTTGTGTTTTTATTTCAAATGGGATTGTCAATATGCCTGACTATTATGTTCATTTAAAAAATGGATTTTTGTCACTGGACACAAAGTTCGAGTTCACCATGGCATTGGAAGTTCTTCGAAGGCTGTTTCTCTTATCAAATAGACAAATAGAGGTTAGAGATCCTCTTAATTTATGGTTCAGAATTTAAGCTTCTTTTTTCACTCCAATGCTTCATGTTTACAAATGATTGACCCTCAATTGTTTTTCACCTCTTTACTTTTCTCCAATAAATATTTCGTAGGTTTCCAGATGTTTGGGCTCTGCATGTAGAACGTGAGTTACGCTGGGTTCTGGTAAGTTCTACTCCTAAGAGGTTTAGCTTTCAATTAACCTTAGAAAACGCATCAACTGCTAGGAAATATTTCATATTTTAGAAATATTTGTAAATGAACTACTACAAGATTTTGCCTAATCAAAAAACTCTAGTCATCTACCAAATTAAGTTACAACCCCTGCGAATTGTTACTGCAGCTTGTAGAAATGAATCAAATGTGAAACTACGTCCTATTGTCTGTAGGCTAAATGTCAGTATAATTACAGAAATCAACTTTAATCTCTCTCTCTCTCTCTTATGTTGAGTGAGACAATGCTACTTGCAACTGCACTCTAAATTGTTTATATTAGACTTTAACGTTTTTATGGATGCTTTTGGATCAGGAGGATCGACTTGTTGATGATAGACATCCTAATTTTCAGCAAGCTTCTTAAGATTCGACATATTTGACGCGGATTGACTTTCTATCTTTGGATAATGACCAAATTCTCTTAATTTTAGTTGCTAATCCTTCTCCCACGGCTCAAGAGAGCGTGTTTAGATTTCTTGCTCCACTTTCATGTTCCATTATGTTGGATGATTGACATGTGTACAAATATGACATCATCATCTACACATGTCATTCATCCAATTGAGTGAAACACGAATGAAACATGAAAGAGTTCAACTCATTTGCACGTTTAAATCTTCATTTTCGAAATTTGCATCACAATATCGAAATATGCTTTTCCTTTTCTTTTATTTTCTTTTTTGAAAAAAAAAAAAAAG